GAGCCGCAGCAGCAGCGGTGGTGATGATGCTGCTGCGGCTGCCAGCTTGCTGCTTCTGCCGGTGTGTGTTGTTGGCGCTGTTGTTGCCGAGTTAGCTGGCCAGTGTTAGTAGTGTTACTGTTAGCACATATTTTCGCATTGCATGATGGCAAATCATAGCCCAGTTCTTAACCCGTTTTTTTAAATAAGGGTTGGTCCGTTCTCATTTATGAGTGTATAATAGTATTATTAGTATATAATACTTGCCCTGAAAACGTTTTAACTCTTTGAGTCCCAGGGGGTTTTGCACCAGAGGCCCAAGGGGGGTAATATGATTTTGACTTTTAACAAATGCAGCACTTTAAAACAAACTACACAACTGCAGCTGATGTCCAATATGCACGTATCATACATAAAATTAAACATAAATGGATAAGGATTAATATTAGCATACTGCTACAACAAACAATTATACTGTTAGTTAGTTTTTAGTAGAGAAAACTGACTTAGTTTGAGAGGTGAGTAAATTATGAACAAGTTTTTTCCACTCACCCAGAAGCTGATCCCAAAATTCTTGATATAGTATATCCAAAATGCATCACAAAGGAAGGTACACCACTTATAAGTATGCACAGCCATTATTAAAGCAAAATGTGCAAAAGTTTTTGTTCCATACTAATTTTAATAACACTACAATAGCACGTCAAAATATATTCTCCAGTGGCACAAACAGTGACTTTTCTAAAAATAATTGAATTCCTCACATAGAAAAAAAACTGTAAAGGCACTGTAAACATGTCAATCTGTTCATAGATATATATCTATGGTTTTAGATGATATGGATAGTAGTACTAGAAGCGCTGACATTTGGACTAGCTGGTGTCGCGTTACGAGGTGCTTCTCTTGTATTGCCAAGGCAGAATTAGTCAGTTTTGTCCTCTTAGCAGGAGGTAAATTACGCACACATCCTCATCAAAACTTGTCTCGTCAACGGTTTGGGGAAATTTCCCGTCGCTACTATCATTATCCAACTCCACATTACTTTAAATGATCCACTGTTTTATCAAATTTGATGATTCTAAAGCAGTAAATCGCTTTGATGGGCGTGAAGACGATGACTGATCGGACATATTGTTTTCAGACAATTGTTTGGTAACGTAGTAGACCACACAAATATCGATTTAAAGCGTTAAAAACTCACCAGACCCAAACGAATGCACTCCACGTGTGTACACTACACAGTTGAGAACCGGAAAGGAAGTTTAAATTGAGCGGTCCACGTGTAATTACCGATAAGTGGTAAATTAAAAACCGTCACACGTCATGTGCTGTTTGGGCCGCCAAGTAGTAAAAAATGAGCGCGTGATGCGTTCCTTGGGACTCAAAGAGTTAATTTGTAACATTACTAACATAACATATTGTTATGATATGTTATGTTATAAATGTTACTAGTACAGTACTGTGTACTACTAGAATTGGATTTACTGCATTTGTTAAAAAATTATTTCCTTTTCCTAAGCTTTGCTTCCACAGTTCTTATCTATGTTTGATAATAATAATATTACTACAGCATTTCTAAGTATGAAGTTTAACAATTCTAAATAAATAAGAATGCTTATTACAGATTTTTATAACTATAATTAATAATATTCAGGCCTTGAGAAATTGAAGAGTTCTACAGTTTTAAATAACCGCATATCATAAAATTATCAGTAATAACAGTAATATTCGAGTATTTGTAAACAATCAGAATAATTCTTTTAATATAATTGATACAAATACGTTAATCCTTTAAAAACCAGTCAATAGTTTATATAACTTTTCGAATAACAATAATAATAATACATTTTAAAATAGCTTGTATTTGTGCCAGAATGAATTGAAATATCACTGGATCTGAAGGATGTAAACCAGTGTTGCTCAACCTTTTTATGCCTGTGATCCACCTGACAGCTAACCAAGCACAGAGCCAAAAATAAATGTATATAGCAGTTATTTTTTTTTTTTAATATAAGATTGTCCTAGAGTATAAGTGTGAGATGCTCTTATGTTATCTGGATCTAGAAAAGGCATTTCATAAGGTTCATTGAAGCAAGCTCTGGGACTGCATAGAGTTTCTATAAAAGCTGCAGAAATTACGTTAGAACAGGTAACCAAAAGTCAGAATTTAAGACTACTGGCTGGAATTTTAGACGGAGACATTCTGTCACCTTACCTTTCCATTCTTCTGATGGATGATTTCATCAAGACTTGTAAGGAGAAAATAAAGAAGTACTCAGTAGAGTACTGGAATATGAGACCAACCTCCATATCAGAGCTGGCATTTGCAAATGATGTGACCCTAACTGCTAAATTAGAGGCACATCTTCAATCCAGTTTACTTGTCTATAATGAAGAGCTTTAAGAGAGATGGATGACCATCAGTATCTCCAAAACTCAGACCATGGTGATCTCAGTAGAGGAGAAGAAACATCAGACCATGATAGGACAATATGCATTGGAGCAGGTCAACCAATTCAAATACCTTTGAGTTGCAATAGACCAGAATGGAGACATCAAGTCAGAGCTAGCTACTCAAAAAGCAGCAGCTGAATTCCAGGCCATAAACTGGAGGTAGGTTTCTCAGCAAAAGAGAAATTACCAAAATGGCTGTATATTGCTCTGCCTATATGCTAGTCCTGACATATGGGTGTGAGTCAGGGGCAATGACAGCAGCTCACAGAAGCCAACTTCAGGCCTCAGAAGTGAGGTGTCAGAGAAAGGTGGGCTAGATGACAAAGAGGGACAAAGCTGGCAATTGGACAGTACCTCATGACCTTGAAACTCAGACTTGACAAACTCAAATGGATCAGTCACAGTTGCGATGGTTTGGACATGTATGCAGAACAGAGAGAATCTGCCACCATGGGAGGCCAAGAACCAGGGAATCAGGGTTGGCTAGGAGGACAACATCCGACCATCCCTGACTGACAGAGGACTGGAATAGAACAAAGCCAAAAATAAAGCTGCTGACAGAGAAGTTTTGAAAATGAAACACAACTACAAGAAATGATGGATATAATTGTAACGGAAAGTGAAAACAAGGGTCTTAGTTTGAACAGCAAAAAAACAGAAGAAGTGGTCATTACAAAGAAAACTGACCCTCCAAAATGCAGTATCAAAGTAAGTGGGACAAACTTCAAGCAAGTTGATAAATTTAAATACTTGGTACCCAGATAACATCAGATGGAAGATTTATTAAGGAAGTTAAATGTCGAATAGCTCAAGCAAAGGCCGCATTTTACAAAAGGAGAAAACTGGAGTACATCGTGGCGGTAAGAAAGTTGGAGGGGAGGAGAGGCAGAGGAAGACGGAGAGAACAGCTGCTGAGCAGTTTGACACCATGGTATGGAAGATCATCTGTGTCAGAGACAGAAGGTTGTGGATAGACATGACTACCAATGCCACGCAGCATGGACTTTGAGAAAAAAAAGAAAGAGAAGTCTGGGGATCTCTTGACAAACCTCAACACCGCAAGATAGAAGAGGAATGACTAAGTAAGCAAGCTAAGTAGGTAATATTTTTAAACCCAGTGTCACAAACTTATGATTTTTAGCTAATGCGACATCTGTTCTTCCTAAGTGGTTAGAAAATCTTATATACGTGGTTGAAAAAATTTTTTTTTAATGTACCTGAGTCCGAAGAATCTCAGCACAATGCACAAACTCCGTAGCAGCAGCTTGGATCCTGAAATACTTTAGGTAGACTTTTAACTCTAAATTTTGCCCGGATAGCCCAGTTAGGCTACTCTTTTTCGATTTCCAACTGCCAAGTTATTTTTTACGTGCGCAGCAATACACACAGGCGTCTGATCTTACCACCCAGAGACCAGGGGAAATTACTAGAAGTCTACGTGATAAAATCCCAGTTTTCACTGGGGCTTTAATCCGGGACCTCCGGCACTCGAGGCGGACATCATGCCTCGGGACCATACAGCCCCTTATCTGAAAAGATTAATTTTGTCATTTAGAGTCATTAAAATCTATTTGTAGTAAAAGATAAACACTAATAAAACACAGTAAAATAATGCATTTTTCTTCTACAGCGGGAAGTATAAGTGGCAATTACAACCATTACATGCATGCTACGCCACTGGTCACATGTCATTCTACACGTAGAGCAGGTCTGTCCACAGCTGTATGTCACTTCGAAAAGTAAAGTGAAGGACCTGGTGTACACCAGTGGCACATTGGCCATGTGTTGCTGGGCTCATATTTTTAGGAACCAATCAGTGATATGGTCAACATTGTGCTGCTCATCTTTGCTTCTCATGACATTGCCTAGTGCCCTTTTTAAGGTGGGTCAGCCTGGGTCAAAGGTCAGTCTTGAAACAATCTGACCTGGTGCAGAACGCACCTGGGACCTTCGGGCCTGTAGGCAAGCATTTAATCACTACGCTACCAGGTCTGTATATATCATGTGTGGTGTCAGGCATTTCTAATGCATATGTTTTTCCATACAGTTCTGCTGGAACTGTCCAGCATCTCTTTCTTTGTCTTTCTCTGGCTTTCTTCCCCTTTAAATTTTCAATTTTTGTGATGTACCTCAGCTTGCCTTTTTACATGGTGCCCAAAGAATACTGATTGTCTTTGTTTAATTTGTTCAGTTCTCTTTGTTCCCTTATTCTTGGACAGAGAAGAAAGGAATGGACCCATTTCCTCTAAGTATATTGTTGCAAAAAAACAACTAATTAGGGATTTACTGAAATGGTATGTGTTGGGCCAAAAGGCACAAATACTGCAGCCTAGCTGTAAACCACAGTACAGCATACGAACCTCCCTTTTAAGAAAGAAGTTCTTATTGGGGGTTAACTGCTTTCAAGACATCACAGCTTTTATTTGTCCATGACGTTCTCATTATTCTTCTTCTGTACCACGTTCAGTAGCTATGATAACATAATAATACAGTAACATCTTTTTTTCCCCTCCAGATGTCTAGTTGAGTCAGTGCCGTCTACGTGTTTTATAACGACAATAAAAACAATGGCGGAGGGAGGTGTGCGAAAATCCAGTCGCATTAAATCGCGCGGACCAATGGCTTATGCCGAGGATGATTTGGATTTGGCTTATGACCTTCATCTTGACATTTCTAATGAGATATCCAGTGTTCTGAAGCCATCTGCAAAGCAGAAGAGCAGCAGTAAGATTAGTGCAAGAAGGAATGCCTCAGCAGCCATGACTTCTTCACAACAGAAGAACAAAGGCAAATTTAATACTGGAAGAAAAACAACTTCAGACTTAGCAAAGAAAGTTGAGAAATTTTCTGACTCAGAAGAGCAAGAGATTAAGACAAGTTCTGAAACGTTTAAATATGTTGCTAAAGTAGCTACAAGTGGAGATAATTCTGCTAATACTGGAGTAGAATGTAGTAATGTTTCTTGTTCTTTATGCGATTCAGTCTTTGCTTCAGAAAAAGCAATGAAAGACCACATGGCTGTGATTCATGAAGATGAGGTAAAATTGAAAGGGTATTTAATTTGTGACATATGCAACCAGATGTGTGTTAATCAGTCAGTGTATGACAAACACATGCAGTTACACTCAAACTGTAGGAAGTTCAGATGTGAGATATGCCAGAAAGCATTTGCTGATACCTGCAGTTTTAAAAGGCATATGAAGTCCCACGATGATGAGCGACCTTATACCTGTGATCTTTGTATGAAGTCATTTCGTGACAACCCAAGTCTTTCTCGGCACCAGAGAACTCATACAGATCGACCCAGAATGTTTAATTGCTTGAAGTGTGACAAAGATTTTACAGATAAACATACTTTGAAGCGACATGAGCGCACGCATATGAGTGTACGTCCATTTGAGTGTGAAACTTGCTCGAAAACTTTTAGTGAGCCTGGCAGTTTCCGGCGGCATCTAAAGATTCACTCAGGGGTCCGTAGTTTTGTGTGCCCTGTTTGCAGTCGAAGTTTTTTGGAGAAACAAAGTCTGTTAAGACATCAGAAAAATGTCTGTGGGTTCAGTGATACAGCAAGTTTGCCAAGTTTCTTTAATGCCAGCCAGAGCCAGAACGATTGTGACTCTGACATGAACGACTCAGATGTGTCTCGTACAACTGTTGGTGAAAAAAATTGTGTTTTGAATGAGAGCACATCACCTGATGAATTTATAAATACGCCCAAGTCCAGATTTGCAGAGGTAAATGAACTCATGCTGCCAAGTAATTCAAGGAAATGTGAGCTTTCTGAGAAATCAAATGGTTTGGTTGAGCCAAAAGATGCCCCCTCCTTGCGCAGCTTGGTACAGAAAGATCCAGAATTATTTGACAGTATATCAGAGATTGTAGAAAGTATAGACTCATATGAAAAGATGCTAGATCTGTGTGGAGACACTGGGCAGGTGGCGATAGATGCTGCTTTAACTAGAGAACCTGCCCCGATGCCAGACAACCTCTTGTGCTTTGAGTGTGGGGAACTGCTTGTGAATGGTGAGAACTTTCAGGCGCAGGGGAAGAGCTTTCACTCTAGTCTGTGTAATTCATACAAGTGTTTAAACTGTGATGAGGCTGAAGACTACGGAGAGCCTCCAGTGCTAACAGCAGAGAGGCCAGAAGATGGCTCAGTCTTTCCAGCTACAGAGAATGGTGATGACGGAATTACTGATGAAACATTGCAGACAAAGCAGAAGAAACGGACGCCTTTAAGAGATTCTGTGAGTAAAAATATCTTTGGAACTGATGAACCGCATGAGCATTTGAGAAAGCGGTTAAAAAGTCAGCAAGGTGTATTTCTTCTTGAGCAGATGTATAACAGTTATGCTGATAGCAATAATGAGGAAGGAGAGGAGTCTGATACGAATGACCATACAGATAATTTGAGTTCAGCTGCAACCTCTTCTCGGTCACATTCACTTGACAGCGAAGCTACTCACATGCTTGTGGGTAGTCAGGATGGTACCAGTAATCAAAATCCAAATGAAAGCTTGGCTGGCAACACTAGCATCTTTGGATACAGCCAGCAGGATCATGTGTTAAAGAATTCACCTGGAAGATCTGCTGCTCCACAAGGACAGCAAGCATGCCTCAGCATTACGCCAAAGATGGAATACGAAGCTGATGATCAGAGTATTCCTTCAGTCTTCCCTTGCCATCTGTGCACAAAGGTCTTTGCCAGCTCGGCATTCCTTACCCGTCATTTGAACCTACATAAGACCTCCCCACACAAGTGCATGGTGTGTAGCAAGACTTTCACAAATTCACAGAATTTGAAACGTCACGTAACCACACACACCGGTGAGAAGCCGTACACATGCCCTTACTGCAGAAAGCGTTTCCGGGATCCTTCCAACTTCTCAAAGCACAAAAGGGTCAGTATGTTTTTAAATTCCAATATTTTTTTATTGTGATATTTATTTATGATAAGATGGAGAAATTATTGATATGATGGTTCATAAACCAAAGTCTGTGGATGAATGAACAAGTTACATAGAGTAAATAGGAGTTGAATAGACTAATATAATGATGTTACATTGATATGTGAGCACAGCTGCAGACTGGGTATGACTTAACGCTTTCACTGCCACAGAAGTTAAACCTAGGACCCAGGGGGAGAAGTTAAACCTAAGACCCAAGGGGAGAAGTTAAACCTAAGACCTAAGGGGAGAAGTTAAACCTAAGACCTAGGGGGAGAAGTTAAACCTCAGACCCAGTGTCAGAGCTGATGGACTGCCTGCCATAGTTGCCGGAAAAAAATCATAATTTTACATATCATTGACGCCATATTAGCGTATGTTGACAACCTCAATGATTTAGGACCGTTATCTGGAGGAGTGCTTCCCACGGTATGCGGTATATTCGCCGGAAATAAGTCTGCAATATACATACGATTGAGTCCCTGTTAGAGTATTTTCTTAGCCTCTATAATTTAGAACCGTTATTTGGAGGATAGCCAGAGACCGTTCTTATGGGTTTATAGACACACTGTGGAGTGAACTGAAACCTCCCCATGTAATGTTCTCAAAGTAAGCGGTGGGTGCGCTGCATTCTGGTGATAGCACACTCTTTACAAATCTACATTGGTTTTTGTTTCTGCTTGAGCTGCTAGCCAGATAACAAATAACTCCTATTTTGCCAGTCTGCAGGTTATAATACAGTTGAAGAACACTGGTCTAGTGGATAGGTTATGAGTCATGGCAGATTGTTGTGAGCATGGCCGTGCATCTGTTGACTGTAGCTTCTTCTTCACATTCACTGGCTGTAAACTCCAGAGAAAAGTTCTGGTTCTTCATTCACTTCCGCACTTTGGTCTTGTTTTTGGGTGCATATCTATTTTACAGACCAGGCTTATTTGTGTGCAGACTGTTAGTTTCTCGCCGGTTAGGCAATGGAACTCCGACTTCGAAGGAAGCACCACTAACTAATTAGTTGCCTTGTATGACGTGCATGTTATGTGGCATTGGATCTGTTCTTATTTCTTCCAAAATAGGTCCCCAAAAACCACACATAAAGTTTACTGAAAAATCCCTGTATGTATTAATACATGTAAATGTCTGTCTATACATGGAAAGAGAAAAAGGACGTAGAGCACGGGGTAGACCAAGAACAAGATGGAAGGATAACATCAGAGAAACTCTACAACAGCACGATGTGCCTATGGTCGAGACAGCCAGAAGAGCTAGAAACAACCTTATATCTCCCTCGACACCCACAGCAGTAAAAGAGGAAGTGAAGAAGAAGAATGTCTGTCAGTAAAATTTGCTTGCCTGTTTATCTGTCTCTCATCTGTCCATTCATTCATCAATTTATCATACTGTCTGTCTAACCTTCTAGCTAACTGTCTGTCTAAATATCTATTCCACCATTTTGTGTATATGGAAGTCTGTCTGTTAGTTTGTGTGGATGGAAGTTTGTCTGTTAGTTTGTCTAATTATTTATCTGCCTGCCTATCTATCTGCTTACTTCCCTGCTACTTTTCTACATATCTTTGCATTCGGTTTCATGTGCTCAGGTCAGAGTTCTTCATGGTTCCCCATAGCTTGCTCTGCTCTTTGCTCTTGAGGCCAGCTTTCTCTTGTAGTAAGTATAGTGATCAGGCATTCAGATTGTGCTCAGGTGTTTACAAGTCTAAACATCCATCATGCCTGTCACCTGGGTGCCTTCCTGTCTGCTTGACTGTTAAGAATTGATATCACAGCAATGGGACATTCCCATAAGAGCTCAGTCTCTGTCTTCAGCAGCCAGCAAAAAGTTTCAGCTCTGATGGTACCAGTTTGTTTGTATGTCCTTATTGTCTTTCCTCTACAGTGTTGTCAGCTGGAATCTCTGGTCACTCTCCGCTGCACCATTTTCTCCAGACCATCTACTTATCTGTCAGTCTCATCATCATCATCTAGCAGGCCCTTTGCAGAACGTTGCTCTCATCATGGTCTGGCTGAAAGAAACTCAGCCTCTTGCCAGATCTCCCACCTCATGAACTTTCATTTTCAAGGAGATTTATATCCTGTGCCCATCTTCGTGTTGGTCAGCCTCTGCCCCTCTTTTTTTTTTTTTTTTGGAACATACCTACTGCTATTATTTGTTCAAATATTTCAGCTTCCTAAACAAGACGCTGTTTATTAAGCATTTTTCCTTGATGTTTTTATCTTTTAAAAATGTCAGTATTTCTTCTCTTCTTTGTCAGTGGTGTTCTGAGAATCTTTCTAAAGCATTTCAGCTCAAAAGCCCCTATTTTCTTTCTTAAGGACTAGGAGATAGTTCACGACTCACATCTATATCAGTATACTTAATCAGAATATCCTATGATCTACATATTTGAATACATGTAAATCTCATGTTTGTGTTTGAATGTCAGTTTAAATAATTTTTTTTTTTTTATTACAGGCGTGTTGTGCATTGCAGTCAGCTGTCAACCCTGCTGTGTCTGTTATGTCCAAGAGCTGTGTCTCATCCCCACAGTCCTTGGATGGTTCTGGTTCTATGAGTCAAATAAATGCAACGGATTTGAAACAGAACTTCAATTTCCCATCATGTTCAGCACCTACAGAATCCTCAGCATCTCAGGACCTGCCTCTAAGATGGAACTATGATAATGATGAAGAGGAAGATTTACCGGTCAGTTTTGGTCATCCAACTGATGGTTCTGATGTTCCACCTGCAGCAAAATATCCCCCTCCAGACTGTAGTGGTAAACATGGGATCAGCAGAGAGGCATGTGAAGCTAAAGAGAGGCAGAGTCCTTACAAGGATGGCAGTAACACAGAAATAAAGGTAGATGCAGATAATCTGGATATTCCCTGTGATGTTTGCGGGAAGGTGTTTGAGAATGAGGATCTGCTAGAAATACATATGAAGTACCATTCTAGTGATCCCAGAGTCACGTGTATTGAGTGTGGTAAATGCTTTGCTGATCCATTCGGTCTGAAGCGACACTTAAGGATACACGCTGGTATCCGTCCACATGTGTGTGAGTATTGTGGTCGCGGATACTGTGATAACTGGAGTCTGAGAAAGCACAAGTCACGTGGATGCATGCTTCATGAAGTCAAAGTACCTGCCGATTTTCTACATCCATGCCTCCAGTGTACCAGGGTTTTTTCTGAGTCTGAGTTTCTTGACGAGCACATGAATTGCCACAATGGCTTGCTTAAGTTTGAATGTGACATTTGCCAGAAAGGATTTTCTGAAGCCTTTAATTTGAAACGTCACCGCCGTCTGCACCTGGCTGTCTGCACTAGTTGTGACAAAGAGTTTCCAGATGTGAATTCTCTAAATGAACACCTGGCTAAGGAATGCCCTTTAAACATCTCTCAGTCTGCCACTAGCAAGGAGACAGGGTTTTCCTGCGAAGAATGTGGACGCGTATACACAACAAAGTCCTACCTTGAGAGGCACAAGAAGTTTCACTTGGATCTGAAACCCTATGCTTGTGAGGTCTGCAGTAAGAGGTTCTCTGAAGCATTTAGACTCCGACGCCATCTGAAGGTTCACAAAGGGGAGAAACCTTTCAGCTGTGAAACTTGCTTAAAAGAATTCACTGACTTTAGCAGTCTGAAACGGCATTTGTCTAACTCCTCATGCAGTGTACCCAGAGAGCCGCAAGATACACAAGAAAATGAATATTTCTCTTGTGATTTATGCGATAAATTCTTCACCAAGAATTACCTTCTGGCTCGCCACATGAACGTGCACAGTAAAGAGAGACCTTTCACTTGCGATGAATGTGGAAGGACTTACAAAGACACATCCAGTCTTAAAAGGCATCAGCTGATCCATCAAGGCATCAAGAGTTTCATTTGTCCAGTTTGTGGCAAAGACTTTTTCTACTCCGACAGCCTAAAACGCCACTTGACGAGCTCGTGCGGAAAGAAAACTAATCCACGTCGCCGCCGCAGAGGTCGAGGTAAAGGCAAGAGGAAATCAAATAACAACATCAATATGAGAGATAGAAACACAGCTGGAAAAAATATACATGTTCAAGATCTTTATCAGCAGGAGGTTGAAGCAGAAAGACTTTCTCCTTCTCTGCTGCGGAATAAATTAACCTCCCAAGTTCAGGATTCATCTAGCGGTGTGAAATTTGGACTGTGGTGCTGTCAAAAGAATAATCATTGCTGGCGGTGTAGCCTGAAGTTTCGGTCAGCTACATCCTTTCACAAACATTTTTATGTTCACCGTCACAAAAAACCTTTTCATTGTCCATGCTGCTTCTTTAGAAGTTCCAGGAAGATGTATTTGAGGATTCATCAAAGAACTCACAAGTCTTGAGGCACAAAATATGAGGGGTCAAGGAATCAGCAGTAGAGTCAGCCCAAAGTGAGAAGGAAAGACCTAGACCCACACTCGAGGGGAAAACTCTTAACTGCACACTCAAGGGGAAACCATAGGTCCACACTCAAAAACCCTAGGTACAGACTCAAAAAATAAAGCTTAGGTCTATATTGAAGAAGAAAACCCTAGGTCCACACTGATAATTTTCTTCTTCAGTGATTCTAGTAATGCACTTAATCCACTGTGAGCCAAATGGGATGTCATCTCAAGGTCTCCTAGGTTTCCCCAAAACTTAGTTGTCAGTTCTACCTGGTATGCCACATGTTGCTTCATATCTCCACCAGGAGAGGGCATCTTGCAAGGCACATTCTGGAGCCTGTTCAGAAGAAAGACTCTGACAGAGAGCTGTTTGGCTCATAATTTAAATGAGTGTTTGTTGAGAATATATTAATAGACTGCAATCAGAATGTGACAACTATGACATGCTTCAGAAAAGGCAGAACCACTAATATCAAAGTTGGTGAACATCAGTTAAAGCAGGCGAAGGATTTGGGGGGGGGGGGGGGGCAGCATTTTTTCGGAACATGTACAAGGAAGAATTAATACAGAAATCCAGCAAAGATGCGATACAGCCAATCAAGTTTTAGGAAAAAAGGCACTAATTTTGAAATACAAGCATGTGAATATGAACACTAAAAGAACACTGTTCAACACAATATTCTTACAAACGCTATGATATCAGTGTCAAAAATGGGACACTGTCTTTAGAAGACAGAAGGAAAATAGTCTCAACAGAAATTAAATGTTTACATATTATGCCAAGGGTAACAAGGAAAGATTGACTTAGGAACTATGATATCAGGAGGAGAGTCGGTACAGAACCAATACATTGAACTTTATAGGTAGACAACCAATCAAATGGTTTGGTAATGTAACAAGATTGGCATCAGGCAAGGCACCACAGATAGCAATGTTATACAGATATTGTGGTAACGGAGCCAGAAGTCGACCACGCAGAAGATGGGCCTCAGAATATCAGAGTCACTGAAAAGTACGTTTTACGAAGCCAACAGAAGGGCCCATTCCAGAGATTGCTTCCTGCCCTGATGCTGCAAGGCATTCCAGGAGTAGAGAAAGGAATAAGTTTGTTGAGCTGGCAGTGTCCAGTGCATAAGCAAAAATGCCTGACTTGGTCTGTTCTGATTAGTTGATTGAGGAACAGTCAGAATATAAACCCTAGGTCTACACTGAAGAAGAAAACTCTTGTCTGCTAATGCTCAGAAAGACGACCCTAGGCCCAGATAAAAACTACTGACAAGAATAAAACTCTTGTGTACAGTTACTACGATTTACAGTTGTGCGCAAGCTGGGTATGAATGATACAGGTATTGAGGTGGATTCATGGAAACATTATGCAACAGATTGCATTGCAGGAAAAAGGGGGAGGGGGGAATTGGAAAGTGAACAGTGACAAAGGAAATAGGTAGGCAACGATAAAGTGGGAGGACAGCATCAAGAGATGGATGGGCAACAGTCTGAGAGAGTGCAGGACAAGAGACAGAGCATGTTGGAGATCTATTGCAGCCCATCTTAATCTTATGCACCTGTTGTGGAAGATTCTTAATAATGTCGGCTGTTCTTACTAGTCCCACTCTCCATCACCACGGGCTGTGATTACCCTGCCTTCCTATAGCACAGTGGAATACAGTCGTCTCAAGAGAAAGAATAGTGCCAACAAAACAGCAGTGTACAGATCAGAATTAAAGTTGTGTCAAGTCTGGGCTTCCAAAGAGTCATGCTCAAACATTTCATTTGCATGTGCTTCAAGTTATATGGTATTCTGAGATTTTTTCCAATGTGTATTTTTTTTAACAATGTTTTACATATGACAGTTGAATCTAATAATGGCTTCCTCTGTGTGCTGTTGAAATTAAATGGCAAATTATATACATTAAATAACAAATTACATACAGTAAATGACAATTTATGTGTGGTAAATTACAAGTTTCATGTGATAAACGACAGTTTTTGTACAGTAAATGGCAGTGTCGCACAGGCATATCTGTATTATTTTCTGGTAGTTGCTATTGTTGTGTGTGTATTTTGCACAAGTATAAAATGCAGTCACTTGCTGTGGGACCTGCCTCATTTTACAGATGAAGGATTGTCAGTCTCACTTTGGACTGCATAGTTACCAGTGGCACTCTCAGGCACCTGTCCAGTGGCACAACTCTACAGAGACCTACCATGCTAACCACTACTGATTGCTGTTTTTATTATCATTTCAACACTGTCTTGTTTATAACGTATCATCCCTGTGAAATGAGAATTGTGGAGATCTTTTGAAAAGAGTGTTTTTATTGCTGTTGATACTGTTGTAAATTGTATATTATATATTGTTTGTTATGTACCTTAAATTGCAGCATATAGGTTGAGTTTTCATGACTAAAAAAATCTTTCTGAAACTAGGGGTCGGCTTATATGGGGGTTATAATTGCAGAACTTTACCAACTAGTTGTAAATAAGGAGACATTACGTATTATAATAGAGCAAAGCATTTAACTTAACTCACCACTTTACATTGGATTTATAGACTATGAAAGGGCGTTTGACAGCATTGATAGAGAATCTCTCTGGAAATTGATGGGGCACCATGGAATCCCTAAGAAAATTATGAACTTAATAAAGACATGAAATGTCAAGTTCTTCATGGAGGAAAGCTAATAGATACATTTGAAATAAAAACAAGTGTGCGACAGGGATGTCTTTTGTCGCCTCTCTTATTTTTACTGGCTATAGACTGGATTATGAAAACAGTAACTGCTAACACCAAGAATGGAATTCAGTGGACCCCTACAAAACAGCTTGATGATCTGGGCTTCGCTAAAGATATTTCCCTTCTGTCCCATTCACGGAATCAGATGCAAGATAAATTAAACATACTTGATGCAAGATCACAGCAGCTTGGTCTGAAAATCCATAAAGGAAAGACAAAGATAATAAGAATAAACAAGGCAAAAAGGAATGTGGTTTCTCTTAATGGCACCCCACTCCAAGACGTGGAGTCGTACACCTACAACTGATAGAGATATTAAAATAAGAATACAAACAACAAGAGGAGCTTTCATAACACTAGGGAATTTGTGGTGGTCAAAAGAAATACTAAACTAAAAGTTTTTAATTCTAATGTCAAATCAGTACTTTTGAAGGGGCAGAAATATGGAGAACAACTAAGGCAGTTACTAATAAATTACAGACATTCATTAACTCTTTGAGTCCCAAGGAACACATCATACATTCATAGATTCCTACCTAGAGGCCCAATAAACGCATGATGTGCCGATTTTACGCCTCTCTTGACTACCCCTTGGGCCTGTGATGCTAAACCCCCTGGGACTCAAAGAGTTAACTGGTACCTGCGCAGAATAGAGGGAATTAAATAGTATGATAGAATAACTAATTTAGAGCTATGGGAGAGAACTAAACAGTCTCCAGGGGACCAAGAGGTGAGGAAAAGACGCTGGCGTTGGATAAGACACACACTGAGAAAACAGGAGAGCAGCATAACTAGAATGTCTTTGCATTGGAACCCACAGGGGTGTAGGAATAAAGGAAGGCCAAAAAACACATGGAGAAGAGATCTGGAGAATGAAGTTAGAAAGATGGGGAGAGCTTTATGTAATGGCGAAGGATAGAACAACTTGGCATGAGTTGGTTGAGGGCCTATGCTCCATTAGGGGATAGAAAGGCAGAAGAAGACAAAAGGTTGAATCTAGTCGCACCTGCAGTGTTGTAATAGCTAGATAATGAGTAAGTAATTACAACAGTATGAAAACTCCAGTAGTTGACCCAGTTATTACTGGTAACTGTCTCAGTGGTATGACCGTTACAATAGGTGCTCATTAAAAGGATGAAAGTCTGACCTGAATGTTGATTATGTAGTGAACCCATAGTTTTGCAGCATACAGCATTAGTTTAGTGATGTCACAAGCTTTAATTGTTCTTCTATGTTATAATACAGTACCTGCCAGTGTGTATGTTATAGGGTGTTTGCTATACAACACATATACCAGTCAGTGTCTCAGTATACAGGTAAGTGGTGCGACCTTGTTTAGGTTTGGCCTAACTTCATTAACCAGTAAATCTAAATTTTTGCCACTAAAGGCATCTATACGGTGGGTTTAGGCCTCTCAAAATTGTGAGTGACAAACCTTGAGGTTGACTTGAATGCCAGGTAAAAATAGTGAAATTACTATTCTGTTGTGTATCATTTAAATATCGTTAACATGTTTCTTTGTAGACAAGAGCTCAAATGATTATGGCTTGCCTTTGATTCCTCTGATGAATTCATTTTTTTTTTCTTTTTATTCTTTATGTCCATTCACAGCACAGTTCTGGAGACTATCAACCTCCTCACATGAAACAGACTGTTATATTTAGTTTATATGTTGGACACAACGGACTCTGCAATCAAATGTACGGGAAATTCAGGACTGCGGATTCAGAACTTTGCCCATATAGACTGGCACCACAGCACACTGAACATGTGCTACAGACGTGCTCTCTACATGCAGTAGATTCAAAGTTTGGCCAGTTGGCATTCCAATATAAACCAAAGACATGCATCATACTACAGACTTCATAGTGGCCTGCGGGCTTCCCATCTGGAAGCTACTGGCGCAGACTATGAAAAGAAGAAGAAAACTCTTTAAAACTCATTCACTACTAAGCAGAGTTATGTTATAAGATGTAAGTTTTGTACAAAAAAAAGACACAAACAATAGATTGCACAATTGATTGCCTGGCATTTTTCGCTGTATCTCAGCTGTATACTACAGTAACAGTGACATAAAAACGAAACACGATTCTCACACTGTGTCTGCCCTGGTAAAACAGGAAGTTGTGTTTGATTGTTGTTTAATTTGTATTTTCGTTATAAAGGATTTACTTATTTGCCTCATTTATTAATTTTCACTGTAGTGTGCACCTGACAAGAT